CTTTTAAGCAACCTGAAAAAGGGTACCCTTAAAAACATACCCATGTTTCTAGCCCGTGACCCCGACAAGGTGATGCACTACGCGGAGTCTATCATGCCTCCGAAGAAGATTCAGTGGATTTGTCCGAGCCCCATCTGGAACACGGGTATGAGTTTTAATTGGAGATCCTTTGGTGGACATCATTTAGGTGGGGGAGGCATGTCCACCAAACATCTTTGAGGTTCTCTACCGAAATTCCTAGCCACATTGGTGTTGGAGCGTTTGTCTTCTTAGCGTGGCAATGTGGTCATAGGGATGGGAATCCCACTTTGGTATCACAGACAGGGGGGTATTGTGAACATCCGTTCAAGCTTTTTCAAGGTGAGCATGTGGCGAAACCCGCCTTGAGCTGGTCTTGGTTTCAGGCCTCGCCTCAAAAAACCTTCCTGGCCTCGCCCGTTGGCCTGCCCTGCCGGTGGGCCGTTTTTGCGAGGCCTGGTGCTGTGCTTCATCTTCTACGCCAACTCCACCACGGTGCTGTCCACGGCATTCAGCCGGATGAACGCCAAAGGCGCGGCTCGAAGAGCCGATGGGCCCGCGAAACGGCTGGTGTCCTTTCGCGTGTGCCTTGAAAAACTAGGACGCAAAACAGTTGGTGTCCTTTTCTGCGTCCCTGGAAAAAAAGAAGAGATTCGAACAAGCCCGACGAGAGTCGGCAACAGAAAGAAACGCGGCCATTGAATGGCGTGAGTCTTTCTCGCAGAATGTGGCCCAGAACATGGACTGGCGTCAGTGAAGCTAGCAGAGGTTGGTCACTCTTGCCACTTTGCCACAGGGAAGTGGGAAGAGCAGGTGGATCTGTCTTTTTTGAGAGTACCTCTTTTTTTTTTTTGTGTGTGTGTGTGTGTGTGTTTTTTTTGGGGGGTGGGGGGGTGGGGTGGGGTGGGGGGGTTAAAGGGAAACCAAAAACACCTCGTCCTTTGTCGCAGGTCCTGGCCAGCTGGGTCGGGAGGACGTGGCCTTTGTGGCGCTGTTGATGGGAGGCCTTGGAATCCCCCACCCCGCGGGGTGGGGGGGGGGGATGAGCCGGGAGTGACCGGGGGGGGGAGGTTGGGGGGTGGGTGTGGCTCATTTTTTGTTATAGCTGGGGCAAACCGCAGGTCTGAGTCTCTCAATACGCCAAGGTGCCATTTTGGGTACCGTTTGAAGAACCACAGCCTTGTTTATACGAGGAAAAAGACCTCTGGGAAGTGTTGGGGAACACGGCTCAGACTTTTCCGAGATGAGGTGCCGCTATGTTGCAGGGATGACGCGGAGTAGACCTCGGAACATGTTGAACTGAGTTCGAACCCGCGGAAAGTTGGGCCGTGCGGATGTGTCACATTGCCAGTAGAGCCGGACACAGCCGCCGTTTCTCTGGACACGCCAGGCATCTATTTGCCGATGCCTCTATCGCTGGGATTGATCCGGACAGTCGCTGGACTGCATAAACAATGCATGGTGTGTGTGTGTCATGCATTTGGGCATGTCTTATTTTGAGGATATCCCTTGTGTGGTTTACTGAAGAGAATCCAAAAGGAGACCAACCAAGACACACTCATTGCTTTGGATGTTTCTGCATGCCTGGACCCACTCGCAGCTCGTCTTTGGAGTCTTGCGGCGCGGCTTGGTTCGTTGCATGGGCGGCTCGTTGTTTTTTCAGCGGACCCTTTGCTGACTGAGGGAAACCACAGGCCACCACCAATTTTGAGGCTCCAGTTGAGAACCCAAATGTTGCCAGCCAAGGTGGCCGTACGATTTGGGCACAGGTACGGTCTTCTTTTGCCAGGGACTTAAGGTCAGCAATTCGGAGACCTGCCAGGCCAACAACCACAGCGCGGCATGCATAGTGCCATCACCTCTTCCCGCGTTTCCGATACCTCCTGTTTGTTCTTATCGCGCTTCGGGACAGTTTAAGGCAAGTTTCATTTTGAGTTGTTCAAAAGGGGAAATGGCTGTGGGTCAAAACCAATGGTACCATTTTGGGGTCACCACCCATTTTGGTCTATTTTAGTGGGGATTGAATCGGATGTTCACTGGGGGCTAATCGATTTGGATTTTGACCCATGGCCAAAGGACTCGGGAGCGCTGTCAGCCAAGGTTCTTGTTCTTTCTTTTGCTGGGTCACTTGCTCACAGCCGAGCGCTCGGATGCGCCCAGTCGGACCCGGCTGGACTGGTGGCGTGAATCCCCGCTCCGAAAGGACAGTAGTCTTCGACAAAACGGGGTCAATGCAACCGCCCCCATGTTTGTTGGCAGAGTAGTTCCACACATGGAACGCTTGACTTCCCAAGGGGCGTTTAGCATGTAGAAAAATGTGTTTTTTCTCCACTTCCTTTTGTGGGACTGGAGGTTTGCGGCCAAGCGATTGCGCCGCAGCTCATGTGGCCACTGGTGGTCGCACGCCTGGCAGGGGCCCCATGGAACTGTCCGGAGTTGCAACTCATGTGGCCGTGGTTTGCAAAACCGTTTTGGGATCCCATTTTGGTAGGTGAATTCACCACCCATTTTAGAACCTATTTTTTAGTGGGGGTTGAATCGGACGTTCACTGGGGGCTAACCGATTTGCAGTTTGACCCATGGCCACGTGGCCAGATCCCGAATCTTGCCGGGAATCGGAGCTGAGGTGCATGGACTTGGCTCTGGGATCCTGTTCCAGGCGCTTTCAGTTCAGTGGTTTTTTTTGATGTTTTGGGGAAAGAAAACGGACACCTACCATTTTTGGGGTCCCCCAAAAATAGACACACACACACACACACACTGTCGGTTTCCTTGCGCTTTTCGTCCATTTTGAGAAGCTGCCATTGGATCAAGCATGCTATTGCTCATAGAGACGAAAAAACACGTCTACGATTCGTGTCGCTCGCGATCGGGTATAACAACCTCTCAGACGCGCCACATCCTTGCCATCCTGAGTACCAACGCGGCAGACTCAGTGGCTTTCTACAGAATCTGGGCCTGTCCCTAAAGGCCCGTTTGGCCATATGGCACCCATTTTAGACTATTTTAGTGGAAATTGGGATGTTCACTGGGGGTATGGGATTTTGACCCATGGCCAAATATCTACTACCCGACCTGGTTTGAAAGATTTTTTAATGCATCAAGAATCAAAGGTCTGTTTTAGTTTTGTGCTTCGGGTTTTTCACCGGAAGTCACATGGGATGGCCACTAGGACAACCACACCAACATCCAGACCTGGATCTTCTTCACCAGCGACCTGGGCCTCGCTACCGGGGCCCATGCCCCGGTTGCGCATGGCCCTGGGTTTTTGCTCAGAAAACGGCGCTCTCCATCCAAATTTGAGGAGTTGGTTGGCACAATTCCGACTCATTTCGCCATCGGAAAAGTCGCAGGGGGAGTTGTTCCATTTGCCAAATTCACCCTATGCTACTTGAGGCGTTCTTCCCGTGGATCCTGCATTGCATCTTCGGGTGCCGGGGGGAGGCCGGAAAGGTTGGGTAGAAGGAATCTGGGAGTGGCGCTTCTTGGGTTTGGAGATATGGCGCCGCAATGGCACTGTTGGTGGTGCAGAATGGGCGGCATCTGGCAGGCTAAGCCTAGGATGTGTCCGCTGAACCTTTGTCGTGGCTCGTGGCGCTCATCGAAGTAAAGCAGGAGTGTGCGTCTCTTTTTATTCAATGGAACAGCATGACATGGGCAGGTGGGAAGACAAGGGACCCTGTTCGATGGGATGGTTTCAATTTGCGGTGTCTTGTATTGGGGCACCCTTTGTACAAAAGCAAACAATGAAGGTTCGCTCAGGAACGACAAGCCCATGCTGCTCTTGGCACTCACCGTTCGCAGGCCCCAGAGCTGATCTCATCGGCGGTGTCGCTTTGCCTGGAGCAGCTCGGCATCGAAGTGGGGGGAGGGGACCTTCAACTTGTGATTGCCCTTTAAACTAACCTCAAACACGTGTGCTGAGGAGGCTCGAGCCTCAAAAGCAATTGAACACGACCACAAGCACACACGGGTGTGCCTTTTTTCAGGCGAGGGTACCTCCCCCACCCCCCCCCCCCCCCTCCCCAAAAAAAAGAGAGAGGGACAGATCGACACACACACACACACACACAGCCTGCCAGATATTCGAGAGTGCCCTCTGCACGCCGAGGTTGGTGGTGATGTTATGGGCTTGGCCCTCAAGCCCGTTTCGCGCTTCGCCGGTGTGCCGTGGCCGGCTTTGGCTTGGCTTTGGATGCAGGGGGAGCCTGAAACTCGGCCAATGGAGATATGGGTGTGGCTCAAACCCAAACAGGAGGGGTTCGCAGGTGTTGGTCCATGTTTCCACTTACCAGGGTTCCATTTTGGTACCGGTTTGTTGAGCCACAGCCATATTCGCGGGTTTTGTGGGACACATGAGTCGGCGTTTTGAGAAGGCCGTGCCATGCACAAAGCGAGCTTCCAGGTCGGATCTGTCTTCCCTAGTCGACTGGTTGGCTTGCCCGAAGGCTGGGAGTCAGTTGACTTTCCATGGCCAGCCTCTTGCAGAAAGTCATCCAGTGCCGCATTCCCGTCCTTTTTTTTCTCTCTTTTTTGCGCGTGCGTTTGGAAGTTGTTTTTTGTTTTTGCTTTTTTTGCGCGCGCGCGTTTGGAAGTTTGAGTGGATGCCAGGCGTCCGATTCACCGACTGGACGGCAAAGGGGCGCCGGCTCCGGAGAAAGCTCGCAGAATCTGACAGGACCCGCATGTGTGGAACCGGTGAGAATTTGGGTGCGGTGATAGCAATGTGGCGCTTTGCGCAGTGCCCTACCATCCACGTGGGACCAGACTGGCGGTCCTGGTAAGGAGCCTTTGGTGGGTTACATGGTGGATGGGAGTTTGCCAAAAGCGGGAGGCTTCGCCGCCAGTTTCGAGTGTGAAATCGCCAACTCAGCATCAAGCGGCGGTTCCCTGCATCCTTCGCATATAGTGGCCTGTCTTTTTGTTCGGCGGGGGGTCCTCGCAAGATCAAAGGGAGAACCAAAGTCCATTTTGGGAGATCCCCACATATTGACACACCCCCACATGTTTCTCAGTGGACCCGAGGTTCCCATCTTTCGGATAGGCCAAAGGCTGAGCCCCAGAGGAATTGGAGCGTGGGACTCGGGCAGGAAGTTTCGGCTCACGGTGTGGCTGTCCGGCACCATGCGCATCTTTGTGCAGCGCGGGGCCCAGCCGTTCGAAGTGTGACTTGGTTGGCCCGCAATATCAGCAGCAGGGACCAAAAAAACGCCAGCAGTTCCATTTGCGGTTTCAGTAATATCTCCCTAAAAAATTGGAGGAGGGAAAAAGCCGGGAGTTCTATTGGTTTCAGCTTCCTTGGGCTAGGACATGAATCGGAAAACCTTCCGAGAAGCCCTGAGAACCTCTCTGCAGGCGCCCATGTTGTTGCACAGGTCCGCAGTGGTTCCCGTTCGAGCCTCAGCGAGAAGGCCATGGACTCCGGTTTCTGACCGGACGTCCGAAAAGAGATCCCGAACGGGCGTGTCTCTTTTGGACCCGCAACATGCCTTGAAACCAACCCCGAAGAAGAACAAACAACATGTGCACGCAAACCACAAAAATGGGGTGGCTTTGCTTTCGCGGGGGGTGGGGGTTGGGGGCCGCGCAAGATGGCGCGCATCCGGCGCATTTTCCTTGGGGAAAAGAAGGCCCACGAGGCTCGTCCATTTTTTGCAAAGGTGGTGGCTCTCTCCATGAGGGATGCCAACTTCACGGGGAACTACCGCCAGACCTTGGCGCCGGTCCTAGGACCTTAGGACTGTGGCGCTGGCGGCGGCTTTGGGAGTCGGACTCCCCCGACATGATATTGGGTGTTCCTTCTGGTTTCCCTTTGAAACCAGATTCGGACTTAAATGGGCTTTGACTACCAAACATTTTTTAAGACAAGGCACCGCCGAATTCCCAAAATTCCCAAGCCTCCGAACTTGGCTGCCTGCGAGCCACCGGGCGTGAGGCCGTGAGCGATTCCCCGAGGCGGTTGCATCGCTGTTCCTCATGCCGCTACCCTTCGAGGTTCTCGCGGGGCACTCAGAAAGCTCAGCGCGCGAGAGATTTGGCGGTGGGTCAAAAATGGAAGCAAATATGGACCCAGGGATCCCAAAAATGGCTGTGGGTACCCCAAAAAAGTGATCCCTGGTAAATGGAAGCAAAGACTAGGACCGCGCAACCCCAGCTCGTTCATTTTCGGCCACACCCCCATGTTTTTCGGCCACGGAACGGCGTTGGCTCGGTGAAGCTGCCAGGCAGCTGGCATGTCATGCCCCTGTGGGCATCGACAGCCACAGGACACGGCGGACAAAAGTGTGATGGACTTGAGTTTGAAGGCACCGAGGCTGGCCGTCACAAGAGTCGATCGATCGCCAAGCGGCTTGAATTTCATGCTTGAGAGGACGGTACGACCGTCAGCAAGATCATCTCCGGGGCGGTGGGCGGTGCTGCGCTGCTGGTGGCAGGACAGCTCCAAGAATGGACACCCATTCGATTGGTCGAGAGAAGCCAAAAGCCAGCCAGCCAGTAAAACAGGAGTCCCCTACGTTTGGAATCATGAGCTGTTTCACTACCGTTTCTCGCAAATTTTCTCCGTCGAGTTTCTTTGATCCACTTCTTGCCGCCCAAGTCCGCAGGTTTACAGCCTAGAAGTGCCAGGAAGCTCGGTGCCTGTCCACGCCCATGAGCCTTAGGTCTCCTTTGGGGGTTCGCCAAGAGAATCCACGGGGGAATTTTAGGGTTTGGGCCCCCAGGTGTGGCTGCAACACGTAGAATGAACGCGTGTCCAAGGAGGCACTCCACACGCAAGCGAATTCACAGAGCGCGAATGCCGAGGTCGACGCCGAGCACGGCGAATTCATGACAATGCTGACCAGGCGCGCTAAGCTGTGCACTCTGCTTGCACAGCTCATGTTTTGGGTCAACCCACGTGCGGCTGAGCGCCAGATTTGTTTTTTAGAGTCGCGTTCCAAGGGTGCACGATCTTAGGATCTTCGAGATCGCCATTCTGATGATCGCCCTTGGCCGGCGCCTAAAGCTGCCAATGGAATGAGTGTCCAATTCCAACCGCACAGAGAGGCGTCGAAGACCTTGGATTCAACTTTACAAGCTTGGTGCCTGCATGCTTCATGCAGCTGCTGACCAATAGATTCGGAGCGGGCAGCTTTGGCAAACACAAGAGACCCAGCTTTGCTGCGATGTGGAAGGGAGCAGCTGTTTCGGGTGTACTCGTTGAAGAAATTGGGAAAGCAGTAGATGACAACTGGCTTTGGATTTAGCCCTGAGAAACCCTATTTCAACTTGCTGCAAGGAGGTCCAGATTTATGATGTATAGATTGAACCCCATCAGACCCATCCGTGTTTTCATGATGGTCAAGCCCATCAAATGCGGACACATGTGACATGTGGGGGGTGCAGAGTTTCAGCACTCCCAGACTAATGCACTCAATGTGGCGCAATGGCCGAGCCGCCGTTGGAACGTCCTGCTCCTCGAGGAGTGTCAAGCTCCCACATTGCCATGGCACCTGACACCCCTGGTCCCTTCAAGAGGAAATTGATCTTCCAGGTCCTTCAGAGGAAGGGTCAACACGTCCAGCGTCCCAAGGCAACATAGGCTTGATGTGAATTTCTGTGAACTCAGGGTGCCCACTTCCTGTCTGACAGGGGGACGGGGGGAATCCGAATTGGTCCAATAACCAGAGTGCCCTGGGCATTGGTATTCGACGCTTAGCTTACGCCAGGCCGGTGTCCACAGGGTTTGGGGCCAGCCACCGGGAGGATTTCCACATCCAAGAGAGTCAGGTGTCTTGTCCGCTTCCGGGGCAAAGTGGAGATTCTGGTCATCGGGAAAAAGTATTGAAGTGCTTGAGCAGCTTCAAAGCTGCTCCCTTCATTCAGAGAAGGGCCACTCATTCTTGCTCGATGTGTGCGTCCTGTAGACCTACACGCCTACACGGCGTTTTCAGGGGTCCTTTGATCCGAAAGATCCCAGGACGTTGGGGCCGGCGCGAGGAGGTCGCCCCCCGCCGGCGCCCAAGATTTGTCCCTTAAGGTAGCGCCTGTGGGAAGGCACCAATCGGTTTCCTAAAGGAACCTTCTGTGAGGTGTTGGAACGGAGGGTGTATATATATATATATATATATTATACATAGGGGGTATTTACAACAAGCTCAGCCAACGAGTTACGGAGGCATGGCCTGAGGCAAACATGCGGAAATAGGCCCCACTTGCACTATGGGGAAAGGAGCCGGCAACGAGCGCCCCAAAGAGTCCAACATGTCAGCCTGCAGCTCTTCGGGCAATCTTTGCCGGCCACAGCAATTGTTTGTAGGCGACCTTTGCCGCTAGCTGTGGCAGCACTGAGATCAAATGTATGGAAAGGCCATTCTACGAGTTTCTAGCAACGAGAAGCAGAGCAGCTGAACGTTCAAATGTGTTGAGAGGTCCATTCAAAGCAAACATCTGTTTAAGTGACCTTTGCCGGAGATGGAGCGACCCCTAAGAAGTTATTTTTGCAAAGAGCAGCCAAGAGATAGTTTGAGGGTTCCATTCAAAGCTTCCGCATGTTTGGATGAGCTTCCCCATTTTTGGATTATGTTTGGATTGTTCTCAAACTGCCGCATGCTGAATGTGCGTCGCCAGATTTGCAGAGTTCTGGGAAAGCCCTATCTCGTTCTCAGGCTTTCTGCACAGCATTTGGTTTTCAGTATGGCTGGGGTCAAAACCAATGGTACCATGTTAGTCTGTTTTAGTGGGGATTGGGATGTTCACTGAAGGTACGGGATTTTGACTCATGGCCATATAGTTGCCGGGGGTGTCCTTTGCCACATCATGACATCTGTGGGAAAAATGCGCCACCTTTGTGAACTCCTGGCTACCCCTGCGAGAGCGCACATGCATGCACGGGTGGTTCTACACTCGGGTTTGAGGTCGTTGCTTCTTTGCTTGTCATGTGGGTATAGCTAAAAAAATAAAGAGCTGGGGGTGTGCGGGTTTTAGTCTTTGGTCCCATTTACCAACCTGCCATGTTGGTACCACTTTTTTTGAGCCACGGCCATGCTTCGGCACGCCAACTTATGAGAGGGGTATCACTGATACGCGCGCGGAGCCGGAGGCCAGCCTTGGCGTCGAGCTCGCGGCAATGACGCGGAGGACGCGCTTGAATGCGCGAATGGTGCGTGGTAAAATGGGTGTGGGTCAATATTAAACCACCAGGAATTGGAACGCAGATGTTCGTCCATGTGTCCACTACCAGGGCAACTCATTTTGGGGTTACCCGATTTTTTGGCTCATGGCAGCGGAGCCCTGCAGCCAAAAAGCTGCGGCCTAGCCACGCCCAAAAAGAGTCACCTGGATGCGCTTGCGTGAGTTGCAAGGATCGTGGCGGATCCGTTCAAATCTTTGCATCCCTTTGGCTGGAGGACCCCCCCTTTCAAAATTTCAAAAAAAAGGACAAAAGGAAACCGACCATCTTTAGAGGTCCGTATTTTCAGAGACACAACGTTGCTGTTCAATCCTGTTGATGTCCGGCTGAGGAGCCGCAAGTGCTGAGCCTGGAGGGCGCGAGAAGACCAGGCGTAGGCGATGGCTTTGTTCCGGTTGGCCTCATGGCAAACATGTTCGCATGCGTGCGTGGCAGCATGGTGCAAATGAATCTGTGTGACACACACACACACATGTGTGTGTGTGTGTGTGTGTGTGTGTGTGTGTGTGTGTGTGTGTGTGTGTGTGTGTGTGTGTGTGTGTGTGTGTGTGTGTGTGTGTGTGTGTGTGTGTGTGTGTGTGTGTGTGTGTGTGTGTGTGTGTGTGTGTGTGTGTGTGTGTGTGTGTGTGTGTGTGTGTGTGTGTGTGTGTGTGTGTGTGTGTGTGTGTGTGTGTGTGTGTGTGTGTGTGTGTGTGTGTGTGTGTGTGTGTGTGTGTGTGTGTGTGTGTGTGTGTGTGTGTGTGTGTGTGTGTGTGTGTGTGTGTGTGTGTGTGTGTGTGTGTGTGTGTGTGTGTGTGTGTGTGTGTGTGTGTGTGTGTGTGTGTGTGTGTGTGTGTGTGTGTGTGTGTGTGTGTGTGTGTGTGTGTGTGTGTGTGTGTGTGTGTGTGTGTGTGTGTGTGTGTGTGTGTGTGTGTGTGTGTGTGTGTGTGTGTGTGTGTGTGTGTGTGTGTGTGTGTGTGTGTGTGTGTGTGTGTGTGTGTGTGTGTGTGTGTGTGTGTGTGTGTGTGTGTGTGTGTGTGTGTGTGTGTGTGTGTGTGTGTGTGTGTGTGTGTGTGTGTGTGTGTGTGTGTGTGTGTGTGTGTGTGTGTGTGTGTGTGTGTGTGTGTGTGTGTGTGTGTGTGTGTGTGTGTGTGTGTGTGTGTGTGTGTGTGTGTGTGTGTGTGTGTGTGTGTGTGTGTGTGTGTGTGTGTGTGTGTGTGTGTGTGTGTGTGTGTGTGTGTGTGTGTGTGTGTGTGTGTGTGTGTGTGTGTGTGTGTGTGTGTGTGTGTGTGTGTGTGTGTGTGTGTGTGTGTGTGTGTGTGTGTGTGTGTGTGTGTGTGTGTGTGTGTGTGTGTGTGTGTGTGTGTGTGTGTGTGTGTGTGTGTGTGTGTGTGTGTGTGTGTGTGTGTGTGTGTGTGTGTGTGTGTGTGTGTGTGTGTGTGTGTGTGTGTGTGTGTGTGTGTGTGTGTGTGTATATATGGTCCCGTGTTCCGTGTTCCTACCCCCCCCAGGACCCGGCCCCCGGATGCTGGCACCTACGGTCCCACCCCCACCCTGACTCCCTGAACTCGCACCCCGACACCCCGGCACCCCACCGCCAGGACAAGGCAACCCGCAACCAACCATAAACCAACCCTAAACTAACCCTAAACCAACCCTAAACCAAACCCTAAACCAAACCCTAAACCGTAAACCTCCAAGCCTAAACCAACCCTAAACCAATCCTAAATCAACATAAACCAACCCCAAACTGACCCTAAACTAACCCTAAATACACCCTAAACAATAAAACCATAAACCCTAAACCCTAAACCCTAAACCTAAACCAACCCTAAACCAATCCTAAATCAACATAAACCAACCCCAAACTAACGCTGAACTAACCATAATTGCACCCTAAACCGCCATTGTTTGTGTCTCAGAGTAGGTTTGCTCAAAACCGTGGTACTGACACTTCATGTGCTCTTGTTTTTCCGAATTTTGCAGCCTTGAGTCTTGTTGGGTTAATTGTGGAACTTGAAACCTGCGGCAGGAGTCAGCCAGGGCTGGCCAAGTTAGACTTGGAGGTGTGCAAAGCGACGGTTCACGCTTCATGTACTCTTGTGTTTGCAGAGTTTGCGGCCTTGAGTCTTGCTAGCTTAACTGTGAAACTTGATACTCGCACCGCGGGTTTGCCAGGACTGGCCGAGTTGGCCTTGGAGGTGTGCGTGCCGTGGGCTCAGACGCTTCACACTTCTTTTTCCAGACGCTTGCTCAATTGTGGAGTTTGAAACTTGTGTCGCGGGCTTGCCAAGGCTGAAGGTTGGCCTTGGAGGTGTGCAGCGCCAGGGCCTCAAACGCTCCAAGCGTCACAAGCTACTTGTTTGTCCAGATTTTGTAGCCTTTGAGCCCAACAGTGCAACTTGCGCTTGGCAGAGCCGGCCAAGTTTGCGTTGGAGGTGTGCCCAACTTCGGTACTACGTTCTGCGCGCTGTGTGTAAAACACAGGCTGATTGGACACAGCGTGGTTGGCCGTATGGGGAGACCAAGCGACTTGAGATAGTCTCACTGCAGACTCAGAGCAAAGTTTCTCCAAGCGCCGACTTCAATCTGAATTCAGCCATTCTTGCGGAGTTCGAGTCTTACGCTTGGGTCTACCCCCCCAAGCACGCAGACACGGCGTGGTCGACCAGCGGGCTGTCCGCCGGGACTGTGTGTGGGGAGACCAAGCGACTTGTGACAGTGTAACTCCAGAAGTCTTGGATCTCCAGTGGCCATGGCAACTGTCGATTGGTTCTTGTACCAAAGGAAAATGTGTAAGGTGGACACAACAAGCGCGAAAGGTGAAGGCAGTTCAGCCGC